CCTACCTAAGGAGACAAAAGACCTGTATGCAGAAAACTATAAGACATTGATGAAAGAGATTAAAGATGATACAAACAGATGGCGAGATATACCATGTTCTTGGATTGGAAGAATCAACATTGTGAAAATGACTATACTACTCAAAGCAGTCTACACATTCAATGCACTCCCCATCAAACTACCACTGGCATTTTTCACAGAACTAGAATAAAAAATTTCAAAATTTGTATGGAAACACAAAAGACTCCGAATAGCCAAAGCAATCTTGAGAAAGAAAAATGGAGCTGGAGGAATCAGGCTTCCTGACTTCAGACTATACTACAAAGCTACAGTAATCAAGACAGTATGGTACTGGCACAAAAACAGAAATAGAAATCAATGGAACAGGACAGAAACCCAGAGATAATCCCACGCACATATGGTCACCTTATCTTTGATAAAGGAGGCAAGAATATACAATGGAGAAAAGACAGCCCCTTCAATAAGTAGTACTGGGAAAACTGGACAGCTACATGTAAAAGAATGAAACTAGAACACTTCCTTACACCATACACAAAAATAAACTCAAAATGGATTAAAGACCTAAATGTAAGGCCAGACACTATAAAACTCTTAGAGGAAAACATAGGCAGAACACTCTATGACATAAATCACAGCAAGACCTTTTTTTTTTTTTTGCGGTACATGGGCCTCTCACTATTGTGGCCTCTCCCGTTGCGGAGCACAGGCTCCGGACGCACAGGCTCAGCAGCCATGGCTCACGGGCCCAGCCGCTCTGTGGCATGTGGGATCTTCCCGGACCGGGTCACGAACCCATGTCCCCTGTATCGGCAGGCGGACTCTCAACCACTGCGCCACCAGGGAAGCCCACATTAAGATCTTTTTTGACCCACACCCTAGAGAAATGGAAATAAAACCAAAAATAAACAAATGGGCCTAATGAAACTTAAAAGCTTTTGCCCAGCAAAGGAAACCACACACAAGACGAAAAGACAACCCTCAGAATTGGAGAAAATATTTGCAAACAATGTAACTGACAAAGGATTAATCTCCAAAATATATAAGTAGCTCATGCAGCTGAATATGGAAAAACCAAACAACCCAATCCAAAAATGGGCAGAAGACCTAAACAGACATTTCTCCAAAGAAGATATACAGATTGCCAACAAACACATGAAAAGATGCTCAACATCACTAATCATTAGAGAAATGCAAATCAAAACTACAGTGAGGTATCACCTCACACTGGTCAGAATGGCCATCACCAAAAAATCTACAAACAATAAATGCTGGAGAGGTTGTGGAGAAAAAGGAACCCTCTTGCGCTGTTGGTGGGAATGTAAATTGATACAGCCACTACGAAGAACAGTATGGAAGTTCCTTAAAAAACTAAAAATAGAACTACCATTGACCCAGCAATCCCACTACTGGGCAGATGCCCTGAGAAAACCACAATTCAAAAAGAGACATGTGCCACAATGTTCACTGTAGCACTATTTACAATAGCCAGGACATGGAAGCAACCTAAGTGTTCATCAACAGATGAATGGATAAAGAAGATGTGGCACATATATACAATGGAAAATTACTCAAGCATAAAAAGAAAAGAAATTGAGTTATTTGTAGTGAGGTGGATGGACCTAGAGTCTGCCATACAGAGTGAGTTAAGTCAGAAAGAGAAAAACAAATACCGTATGCTAACACATATATATGGAATCTAAAAAAAAAAAAATGGTTCTGAAGAACCTAGCGTCAGGACAGGAATAAAGATGCAGACATAGAGAATGGACTTGAGGACACGGGGAAGGGGAAGGGTAAGCTGGCACAAAGTGAGAGAGTAGCACTGACATATATGCACTACGAAATGTAAAACAGATAGCTAGTGGGAAGCAGCTGCATAGCACACGGAGATCATCTCAGTGCTTTGTGACCACCTAGAGGGGTGGGATAGGGAGGGTGGAAGGGAGACACAAGAGGGAGGGGATATAGGGATATACGTATGCACATAGCTGATTCACTTTGTTATACAGCAGAAAGTAACACACCATTGTAAAGCAATTATACTCCAACAAAGATGTTAAAAAAAAAGCTATCTATAAATATACTATCACTGCTTTTCATTACCATGAAGAAAGATTAAATAAGATTATAAGAAAAATCGTTTTAGACTCTACCTGTAACTATTTTCATACCAGTCAACATTGCATTCTCCATTTAAGAATTTTTTTAAATGGCAGTAATCATTTTAATTGAATACCAAAATTCTTTAACCTTGGATTCTTAGTAAAAATTAAAACTTAATTAAAAACATTTAAATGTTTTAAGTTTACAAACACGGTAATTTTACATATTAGATTAAATTAAATTGATAAAACATGAAAATCCTTCACCTTTATATAGCTTAAATGTAAGTAAGATAGGGATAAAAATATTTGAATGCTTGAAGAGATATAAGAACTTTCAGTTAAAAATAATGTATTGACATGTCCTCTTAACTCCTCTCACTCCAGGACCCCATTAAAGGATAGTAAAGGGATTTTAAAGCCATAAACCCAGCAGAATAAAGAGAATGGAAGAAAATTCAGAAGCAGATAAATGAGAAGTGACAGACTTAACAATCTTGAGAAAGTTGTATCTTAAGCCAACAGTCAAAAAACTTGTTGAATTAATGAACATCCAAAGGTTGTTGTAATAATAAAGTTACTTAAAGATTTTTACACTAAGAAATAAAGTCAAATGTAAAAATTACATTTGCAAGTTTATAGAATCTCAGCCTCAAACTGAAAGGTTCTCTTTGACTGAAATTAATTAATAGATTGGAGCAGCAGTGGTTGGAGAAAGGGAGTTCCTGGCAGGGAACTAACATTCACGAACCAGAGTCACTATACAGAGCTTTATATGGAGCTTTATAACCTAGAGTTTTATTTTGTAGGAAAAGAAAATCATAATATACAAACCAACATGTTATTATGTGCTGCAATAAGTCAAAAAAATTAACTTAGACCATATGACATGACAGCTCATTTGACACACATCACAGGAAGCTAAAAAGTCACTCATTAAGCCAAATAGTTTAAATATATTTACTATTCAAAATCATCATAGAATAAACTGTTCAAAGAAATAGTATTTCTCCTTCCCTCAGGCCAGACTGCATCCATCTCTTTTTAGCTTCCTCTGCCGCCAGTCTTTCTCCGTTCTAAGCCATTTCCCACAATTTCTCCAGTATTATCTTCCTGAAATATAAACCTGACCATGACACTCCTCTGATTAAAAACTTTTATGCCTTCTGATGTTTAAAGGGTAAAGTCCAAACTCCAGAACAAGACACTCAAAGCCTTTTTTTTTTTGGCCACACTGCACGGCTTGTGGGATCTTAGTTCCCTGACCAGGGATCGAACCTGGGCCCACAACACTGAAATCGCCGAGTCCTAACCACTAGACTACCAGGAAATTCCTTCTCAAAGCCTTTTATAATCTGACCACAGGCTACCTCTGCAATCACTTTTCATGTTCTGCCACATTTCTTCCTACACCATAGGCTAAATTATCCACCATTTTCTCAACACTGCACATATGTTCTTTCACACCCTATGCTTTTGCACATGCTGTTCTGTAATGCCCTAAATCTCTAATCTGTTCATCCTTAAAAACCTAGTGCAAATGTCCCCTCATCCAACATGTTTTCCCTCACATCCTAAGGCTGACTAAATCAGTCTTTTTTCCTCTGCTCTCATAGCACTTTACTACAGTTCTGTAACAGTGCTGTAGCACAAATTGGCCTACCATTTATTACTTATTTTCTTCTAACCAGTATGAACTGTGATCTCCATCGTTATTTCCAGAGAACTTCATTACTTACTTAACAGCAAGTAAATTTTGAATAAATGTTTGTTAACTGAAAAAATTTCAGGTATATAGTATTTTAAACTATGACTTCTATTTATGACCTTATAACACTGAGTTCCAGTTAAGGTTAACAGAAACATAATTCCCACCAACCCCACATGAAAATTCCTCTTTGATCTCTGGTGGGTAGCAACATGGAAAGAATAAGATTAGCTTTGCTAGCTAGAAAGCAGAGCATTCAGAAACTTTAAATTTGCTCAGTGAAGGGCTAATACAGAAGCAAAGTACTACGGTAAATAAAGCATGATCTCTTGAGCCAGAATATTTGGGTTCAAAGTCAGGTCACTAGCTGAGTGTCCTTGGGTAAATCTCTTAATCTCATGACAATTTCGCTATCCATAAAACAGTGATGATAACAACAAATATGTTACAGTATAAAGCAAGGCCTCCAGAGTCAGTAAATCCCTTAACCTCTCTGGTGACAATTTCCCTACCTGTTAAAGAAGATTTAAACTGGATGATAAACTCAGAGAGTTTTAAGGTGTAAATAAGGGCAGGCATGTGAAAGTATTATTTAAACAAAAGCTATCATCAAATGTAAATAGTTTTCATAAGCATTAGCAACTATGGTAAATGTAAAGATTATAGCTAGGAGGAAGGTATGGGGAGGGATGCTAAGGGTAATAACCAGGTTCCACACCAGCTCACGCTGGCTGCTGCAGTTCCAACACCAACTTCTCCTGAAAGAAGTAGTTTCTATTCCAAAATCAACACTTACAGAGGTTCAGATAGAAGGCAAACATTTTTTGGAGGGATAGGAAAAGATATGCATTTATGCATAAAACATTTATTGAACATCCACTGTGTGCCCAGCACTAGTATTGACAGCTCAAGTCTACTGTTCTAATTAGTGACTACACTATCTTGAGTGTGTGTTTTCATAAAGATGAAAACACAAGAAAAGTCAATTTCTTATCCAAGTTAACTACAGAGCTAATTGCTAGCTTTATACTCACACAAGAACACTGACCTTTCAACTCCAGCTACATGGAACTTGTAACTATTAATAGTATGCAGAGATTTAATCTATAAGAGTAGGTACATTAACCTACAAGTTTCACAAGAATTTTTTTTAAATGAAACATACTCACCCAAGGCAGGGTATCCAAGGTAAAATCGATCTGCTCCCAACCATCCAAGAAAAAGAGACAGTGCAACCGCCACCTTGTATGAATAGCCATTTCTGCACAGAATTGGAACATGAATGTCACATTCATATATTTCCAACATGTAAACATTTTAGAAAATAAAACTGTTAATTATTATTATTTGTTAACTGGTTCATTCATCCACTCAATTAATGCTTTTTGGGTGGCTACTGAGTGCCAGGCACTATCTTAGGCTATTGCAATATATTAATGAACAACAGAGACAAAGATCCCTGATGCCTAAAGAGCTTATAATCTAGAGTAAGTGACTTAACCATGCCATACCTCTGAGGGAAGAGTTCCAGCCAAAAATATCGCTGTTGCAAAGGCAGCATACCTGACAGTGCAGCAGGAGTGGAGTAAGAGAGGGGAAGAATAGTAGGAGACGAGGTCAGAGAGATAATAGGGGGCAAAGAAGGCAAATCATGCAAGGCCTTGAATATCATCATCAAGTAAAAACTCTGTCTTTTACTCTGAGAGATATGTGAAACTACTGCAGAGGTAAGTAGAGGTGTGGAGTGTGATCTGATTTAGATTTTAAAATAATCACTCTAGCTGCTGTGCTGAAGATAGACTGTAGGGGAGCATTTGTGAGCTATTGTCACAATAATGTACAACGAACCTTTCCATATCAAGCAGAGAAGAAACCATGAAGGAGCTAACAGTGAGGAAGAAGTAAAACCAAGAGTGTGGTATCTTGGAAAGTCAAGTGAAGACAGTGTACTAAGAACAGAGTGATCAACTGTGCCAAATGTGACTGATGAATGACATAAGAATGCCTGAGAATTTACTACTAAATTTAACCAAGAGGAGATCTTTAGTGACCTCAGCAAGAGCAATTCCGGTAACGATGAGGGCAAAAGACAGAACAGAACAGGCTTAAGAAAGACTGGGAGGGCCATAGTGGTACCTGTGACTCTGCTCTCCCCCACAGCACACCCAAACCTGGCTCCTTCCCCCCATTCCCCCTTCCCTCACCGCTACAGCAGTGCCCACAACCCAGGCAACCCCACAAATGACAGAGGCACCTGCCATCTCAAGGCACCAGTAACCCCAGAGGAACAAGCAGTGATGATGAGGGCACTGATGACATCTCTGGCAAAGGTGATGGAGGGTGGAAAGTGCCAATTCTCAAATATAGCCAGAAGCACTCAGGTAAGAGAAACTAAGCTATAACTTATGCTATAGCGCCACCTACTGAAAAACAAAAGAAAGGACTCTAATTACCAACCTGTTGAACTGTTAGAATCAAAGTAAATAAAGGTTTACCTAAATAAGAAAGGTATTCACTACTTCAAACGCGCCAGCAAAGGAACAACTCACCAAGCACTATGAAAAAACACAGTAACACAGTATCAGAAAAAGAAAATGATAGTTCTCCAGAAACTAAAGTCACAGAAGACTGTGGTCTAACTGACAGAGAATTCAAAACAGGTATCAGAAAGAAACTCAACAAGCTATATGTAAGAAAACAGAAAAGACGGTTCAGTGAACTAAGGAATAAAATTAATGAACAGAAGGAATACTTTATCAAAGAGATTGAAACTCTAAAAAACAACCAAACAGAAGTTATGGAGCTGAAGAACTCAATAAACAACATGAAGAACGGCATTAGAAAGTGTTGGAAATACAGTAGAACACATGGAAGAGAGAATTAGCGAACTCAAAGACAGAAATTGAGAAACGATTCAGGTAAAAGAGGAGAGAGCTAAGATTTTTGTTTTAACTGAAGAAACTCTACAAGAACTATCCAGCTCCATTAGAAAGGCAACATAAGGACAATGTGCATCCCAGAAAGAAAAGAGAGGGAGAAGGGAACAGAGAGCCTATTTAAGGAAATAATAGCTGAGAACTTCCGAAATCTGGGAATGGAACTAGATATACGAGCCCATGAAGCTAACAGAACACCTACTTATCTCAAAACAAGAAGACCTTCTCCAAGACACATCATATTAAAATTGTCAAAAGTCAATGACAAAGAAAGAATTTTACAGGCAGCCAGGAAAAAAAAAAAAAAGAACACAATAACCTACAAAGGTACCCACATGAGGCTATCAGCAGATTTCTCAGCAGAAACTCTACAGGCCAGAAGAGAGTTGAATGACAAACTCAGAATATTGAAAGATTAAAACTGTAAGCCAAGAATACTCTATACAGCAAAGGTATCATTCAGACAGAAAGGAGAAATAAAGGCATTCCCAGACAAACAAAAGTTGAGGAGTTTATCACCACCAGACCTGCCTAACAAGAAATGTTGAAAGCAGCTCTTCTACCTGAAATGAAAAGGCAAAAGTACACAAAACATTGAGTAAGGTAATAAATAGACAGAATCAGAAAATTGCAACTGTATATCAGAATAGGTTGTTAAACACTTAATTACAGCAAAGGTTAAAGGGTGGGGAAAAAAGCACTAAAAATAACTACAGCTATGTCAATTTGGTAACAAACTCACAGCATTTTGTGTTGAGACATACTTGTGACAACAAAAACATAAAAGGAGAAGAGGAAAAGGATGAAACCTGTAGAGGCATATTAGGATAAGATACTACCAGCAGAAAAAGGACTATTTTATATTTAAAACATTTATACAAATCTCAGGATAACAAAACAAAAATCTAGTGCAGAGACACAAAACATAAGAAAAGAGAAAACTAAGAAAAACATCATAGAAAACCACCAAACTAAAACACCAGACAGAAATGCAAGGAAAAAGAAACAATGGAACTATAGAACAACCAGAAGAGAAAAGATAAAATGTCAATACCAAGTCCTCATATATCAATAATCACACTAAATGGGGACTTTCCTGGTGGTCCAGTGGTTAAGACTCCATGTTTCCACTTCAGGGGGCATGGGTTTGATCCCAGGTTGGGGAACTAAGATCACACATGCTGCAGGGTGTGGCCAAAAAAAAAAAAAAAAAATCACAATAAATGTAAATGGATTGAATTCACCAATCAAAAGACACAGAGTGGCTGGATGGATTAAAAAATAAGACCCAACTATATGCTGCCTCCAGGAGACACATCTCAGTTCTAAAGATAAATATAAGTGCAAAGTAAAGGGCTGTAAAATGATACTCTAAGCAAATGGCAGCCAAAAGAAAGCAGGTGTAGCCATACTCATATCAGACAAAACAGACTTCAAACCAAAAAAGTTAATAAGAGGCAAGGATGGACATTATATACTAATGATAAAGGGTACAACCCATCAAGAAGATATAACATTTATTAATATATATGCACCTAACAAAATAGCACCAAAATATATATAAAGCATTATTAACAGACCTAAAGGGAGAAACTGACAGCAACAGAATAAGAACTTTAACACCCCCTGTACATCAAAATCTAGACAAAAAGAGAAGACGGAAAAGTCGGTCTTAAATGAAACACTAGACCAAAGAGACTTAATAACAGATGTATGTATACAGAATATTCCATTCAAAATCTGCAGAATACACATGCTTAAGTGCACACAGAATGTTCTCAAGGATAAACCATACGCTGGGACACAAAACAAGTCTCAATAAGTTTAAGAAAACTGAAATCATATCAAGCATCTTTTCTGACCACAATGGTATGAAACTAGAAATCAATAAGAAGAAAGCTGGAGAAATCACAAATATGTGGAAACTAAACAACACACTACTGAACAACTAATGCATCAATGAAAAAAATTAAAGGAGAAATTTTAGAAGTACCTGAAGAGAAATGAAAATGAAAATATGACATACTGAAAATCTAAGGGAAACACACTGCAAAATCAGTACTAAGAGGACAGTTTATAGAAATACAGGTCTACCTCAAGAAACACCACAAATAATGTAACCATACACCTAAAGTAACTAGAAAAAGGAGAAAAAACAAAGCCCAAAGTCAGTAGAAGGAAGGAAAACATAAAAATCAGAGTGGAAATAAATGAAATAGAGACTAAAAAGAAAATAGAAAAGATCAATGAAACTAAGAGCTGGTTCTCTGAAAAGATAAACAAAGTTGACAAACCTCCAGCTAGACTCACAACAAAAAAAAAAGACAACTCAGATAAATAAAATCAGAAATGAAAGAGGAGAAGTTACAATGGATACCAAAGAAACATGAAGGGTTATAAGTGACTACTATGAATGGCTGTATACCAGTAAATTGGACAACTTAGAAGAAATGGATAAATTCTTAGAATCATACCACTTTCCAAGGCTGAATCAGTAAGAAATAGAAAATCTGAATAGACCTATCACTAGTAAAGAGATGAAACATTAACCAAAAACCTCCCCTAAAACAAAAGTCCAGGACCAGATGGCTTCACTGGTGAATTCTACCAAACATTCAAAGATTTAATACCTATCTTTTTCAACCTCTTTCAAAAAACTGAAGAGGAGGGGATGCTTCCTAACTTATTTTGCAAAACCAGCATTACCAAAACCAGACAAGGACACCACAAGAGGAGAAAATTACAACCCAATATCTCTGATGAACACAGATGCAAACATCCCTAACAAAATATTAGTAAACCAAATACAACAATACATTAAAAGGATTATATGCCATAATCAAATGGGATTTATTGCAGGGATGCAAGGATGATTCATCCACAAATCAATCAATGTGACACACCATATTAACAAAATGAATAAAAACCATATGATCACCTCAAAAGACTCAGAAAAACATTTGACAAGATTCAAAATCCATTTATGATAAAAACTTTCAATAAAATGAGTACAGAAGGAATGTACCTCTACATAGTAAAGGCCATATGTAACAAACCCACAGCTATCATCATATTCAACAGTGACAAATTGAAAGCTATCCCTTTAAGATCAGGAACAAGACAAGGATGCCCACTCTCATCACTCTTATTCAACATAATATTGGAAGTCCTAGCCAGAGCAATTAGGCAAGAAAAAGAAATAAAAGGCAAGAAAGAAGTAAAACTGTCACTATTTGTGGATGACATAATTTTATATATAGAAAACCCTAAAGACTCCACCAAAAACTATTAGAAATAATAAACAAATACAGTAAAACAGCAGGGTAAAAAAATCAATATACAAAAATCTGTTGTGTTTCTATACACTAACAAACTAGCAGAAAAGGAAATTAAGAAAACAATCCTATTTATAATTGCAACAAAAATAATTAAATACCTAGGAATAAGTTTAACCAAGGAGATGAAAGACCTGTATACTAAAAACTATAAGACATTATTGAAATAAATTGAAGAAAACACAAAGAAATGTAAAAATATCCCATGCTCATGGATTGGAAGAATTAACATTGTTAAAATACACATTACCTAAAGCAATTTACAGATTCAGTGCAATTCCTATCATACAACTCAATAAAAACAAAACAAACAACCTGATTAAAAAATGGACAGAGGATCTAAACAGACATTTTTCCATTTAAGACATGGCCAACAGGCACTTGAAAAGATGTTCAATCATCAGAGAGATGCAAATTAAAACCACAATGAGATATCACCTCACACATTAGAATGGCTATTATCATAAAAACAAGAAAAGACAAGATGTTGGAGAGGATGTGGAGAAAAGGGAACCCCCATATATTGTTGGTGGAAATGTAAATTAGAGCAGCCACTATGAAAAACAGTATGGATGGACTTCCCTGGTGGTGCAGTGGTTAAGAATCTGCCTGCCAATGCAGGGGACACAGGTTTGAGCCCTGGTCTGGGAAGATCCCACATGCTGCGGAGCAACTAAGTCTGTGTGCCACAACTACTGAGCCTGCACTCTAGAGCCTGCGAGCCACAACTACTGAGCCCGTGAGCCACAACTACTGAGCCCGTGTGCCACGACTACTGAAGCCCATGCACTTAGAGCCTGTGCTTCACAACAAGAGAAGCCACCGCAATGAGAAGCCCATGCACCGCAACGAAGAGTAGCCCCTGCTCGCCACAACTAGAAAAAGCCCGCGCAGCAATGATTACCCAACACAGCCAAAAATAAATAAATAAATTTATTTTAAAAAAAGAAAAGAAAAGAAAAATAGTATGGAGAAAACTACCATATGATCCAGCTATTCCACTTCTGGGTATTTATCCAAAGAATAAGAAAACACTAATTCAAAAAGATATATGCATCCCAATGTTCACTGCAGCATTATTAACAATAGCCAAGATATGGAAACAACCTAAGTGCCCACCAATGAACGAGTGGATAAAGAAGATATGGTGTATATATATACAAGAATACTAGTCAGCCATTAAAAAAAAAAAAGACACAATCTTACTACTTGTGACAACATGCATAGACCTTGAGGTCTACGTGCTAAGTGCCATGTGCTAAGTGAAATAAGTCAGATGGAGAAAGACAAATATGACAAATACCATATGATTTCACTCATATGTGGAATATAAAAAAAAAGTAAATGAACAACAAAAAATAACAAACACATAGAAACTGAGAACAGACTGGTAGACACAGAGGTGAAGGGGGGTGGGAGGTAGGTGAAATGGGTAAAAGGGATCAATTGTATGATGATGGATGGAAACTAGATGTGGTGAGAAGCACCCTGCAGTGTATACAGAAGTTGAATTATAATGCACACATGAAACTTATATGTTACAAACCTATGTTAACTCAATTAAAAAAAAAGGTTGGACAAAATTAAAGAAAAGAAGTATTAGATAACTCTTTCAAGGAGTTGCTGCAAAGAGGAGTAAAGAAATAAAAAGGTAGCTGGAGATATCATTTTAAAGTCAAATATGATTATGTCAGTCTCCTGCTTACGATCCTGTTTTTTGCATTGACTCACAATCAGGACATTTTCAGGGAGTTAGGGAAGATGGTAAACAACCCAGAGATTCTGTCTATGCATCTAATATTATAAGAAAGTCAGATTTTACACTGAGGGGAGTAGTGCCCCTTCTACATTGCAATGGGTCACCAGACTAGAAGTAGAGAAATAAATTGGGAGACTTTGTAGAAACTCAAGCTATAACCTACTGGATAGTAGCAGTGGGAGAGAAAAGGAAACAAAATTAGGAAATACGAAGAAGGCAGAAGCAGCCAGAAGAAATGTGGGGAATGAGAGAATAGGAGAATGACTCCAAAAGTTTCTGCTTAAGAAACTGGGTAGAACAGCTGCATTCACTAATACAAAGGAGGAAATGATTTGAAGGAAAGGACCTTTATATAAAGATGGTGAGAGAAACCAAAGGGGTGGATGAATGAAGCAGAGAAAAGGACCAAGGACATAATCTTGGGAATATCAAGATTTAAGGAAGAAGGAAAGGAATAGGAATCAAAAGAAATAGAAGTGTGTTTTATACTGGAAGTTAAGGAAAGAAAGTATTTTAAGAAAAGGGAATGCCAAATGCTGTAGAAGGATTAAGATATGGACTATAAATATCCATTTGATATAGCAACAAAGATGGCTAGCGAATTTCAGTATGGCCAAAAGCCATACTGCATTAGACTGAAAAATTCATAAAAGATAAATATTATAGAAACAAGCCTCTCAAAAATCTTGGCTGGTAAGGGGAATGAAATCAGAAAAGCAGTTACCTACATAAATAAATCATCCTAAAGGATAATCTAAAAACTGGTGGTGTAGAAGAGATTTGTCTAATTGTTTACCAAATCATTTCTCTTTTTCTCATGTACATACAACGAAACAACAGGCAGACCTTGTTTGGTGTGCTTTGCATTATTGTGCTTTACAGATAAACTGTGTTTTTTACACGTTGAAGGTTTGTGGCAACCCTGCATCAAGCAAGTCTATCGGCACCATTTTTCCGACAGCATTATTTTAAAATTAAGGTATGGTTTTCTTAGACACAATGCTATCGCACACTTAATAGACTACATATAGTATAAACATAACTTTTATGTACACAGGGAAACCAAATGATTCATGTGACTTGCTTTATTGCACTGGTCTGCAACCAAACTCACGATATCTCTGAGATATGCCTTTGTTTACTGTAGCTAACTTTGCAGTTAAGTGCAGTCATCACTTAGTTTTGGCCAATGGAATGAGGACAGAAGTGATGTATGCCATCATTTTATGTCTGGCCAATAAAACATTCCTGCAGGGGTTTTTCCTCCACTTTCCATCTGCTGGCTGAATGGAAAGGACTCTAAGGACTAGAGGAAGCAAAGCTACAAGATGAAAGCACAAGAGCCCGCATGACTGCATGGAGCAACTACCACTCCCTTCACCCCATCCAGACCCCCAAGGCAACACAAATTGGACTATGATGTGAGTGAGAAATAACTTTTACTGTGTTAAGTCACTGAAATTCTTAAGACATTTGTTACAACAGGCTGCTCCAACTAATGCAGATGGCCAGTATAAACAGGTGTGTGAGTCGGTAACCAATCAGACATAGTTACTAGACTTCAGTTGCTGAAGAATACATTATAGAATGGCTATATCTGCAGTATTGAGATGGAGTTCTAGTCAAGTATCAATATTATAAAAGGATATGCCTACAGGAGAAGGAAAATATGTAAACTGGAAAAGGGACACTCAATGAATTAAGAATTTGTCAGTGAGTCTTTACTGACACGTTATGTTACTTTTGTGACTTATTAAAATTATCCATCAATCTAACTCCCCTTGTTCTGATTCAATGCTCATCAAGCAAATTCTATTTTGGAACTGCAGACTTTACTACAGGAGGGGAATAAGTTGGCCAGTAGACTTGGAGTATCTAGTTTCCTTGATAGTTATATTTCCTATCACAATTGAAATCAATGTCTTGTGAACATGATGAGTACAGCTCAGTTGCATTGAGCCTAACTACTCAGAGACAGTAAAAGGAAAATCAGAGTTCATTTGGAAATTAAGTGGCAGATCACTGTGGTGTGACCATTATAGGTAATATGAACCTGCAACGTCCAACCTGAATGGTTAGCTGTTCTTAATGGATGATTTTCTTAGTTGTTGTATTATAACCTTGGACCAACACTTAACAAATTATTTGTCATTTGGAAACATCAATCTATAAATCTAAAAACTGACTAAACCATATCTAAGTACTTTGGAAATAATTCCCTTTAACAATTTTTACTTTACTTGTGAGCAATCTTGGAACCCAAGAAGCTTAAAGTGATTGGATTACACAGCAAGATAGAATCTAAAGCCCCTCATTAACTCAGTGAAGTAGGGTCAAAAAAAAAAAAAAGACTCTAATAGTAATTTCTAAGAATTCTAATAGAACTTGCAGAAACAGTCAAATAGTGGTTGTTTTTTGATATAACTGCAAAATAGGTGCCATCATATAAAATGCAACAACATACAGTAAAAGATAAAAATATAATGCCAACAATTAATAAAAATGGGTAAAATTAAATCATGTTTTCAGGACAAAGCATTAACATAAGAATAAACTGTTAGCTTTACTGGAGCAAAAATAAATAGCAAACTTAAAAGTCCTTTAAACAAAGAATACTCCCAACAAAATAAAACCATTTGTCTTAATATACCAAACTAACTTTTGAATTCTGTTTAACATTACCATTTATCATCCAAACCTATTACAAATAATGAAACCAAGTTTCAAAATGCAAATGATTACTAATTAGCATTCTTTTAATACTATAGGTACACAATCCCTTATTTGCACTCGAGAAAGCCCCCAAATTTTGAAAACAGAATTTTTTCATAAGCCATTTGGTAGCAAAAACTGGCTGAACTGACATGGCATGAAGCCATTCATTCTATTTATCCCACATAGTGAACTACTGAGCTTTACTTGGTTGGTGAACTGCATATATATATAACAATATGCACACTTAAAATAGAGATTTTCTGACAAAAGCAAAAAGGTATAAATTATATTAGTGCAGGATTCTCCTTACAAATTAACTCTTTTCCTCTTCACTCCATTCAGTCAAGATACAACATAGGCAAGTAATCTGAAAATTTAGCTTCAGTAAGGTAGGTACTTACACATTTCGGCAAGATATGGGCTTGAGAAAACCAATTTCGTTTCCAGTAAAATGTGTTTCATTGCCGCCAGAATCCTTACAAGTTATGTTAGGTGCTGGAAAACATGGAACTAAAGGCAGAAAAAAGCAAAAATCCATTATTTTTTTTCTTGTGGAAAAGTATGCAATTATGTTTTTTCCTAAGGCTAGCAATACACACAAGAAAATATAATGTTAAAATAAACCACCTCCCAATATAACATGATATACTTTAATTTAGATAGGAAAAGCTACATTTTATATACATATATATATATATACACACACGCACACTCATGTACAAGATAAGATACAGATAAAAAAATAAAAACAAAAAAAAGATACAGATAATATGATAGAGTAGTCTGAACACAAAAGCATAACAATTGCCACACTGAGTTAGATGCATGACCCATCAAGTTCAATCTCCTGCCTCTGACAAAGGTAACAAGGGAAGAATTGCACATTACTATCCTTTACTTCATCTCTAGGATAAAGAATACTTCTCGAATTTTTGTTGGTATCTCATTAGGTAATTCATTAAATTTAACATAATCTGATTTTATATTTTCAGTTTATAAAGTTCTTATAGATGATGGCTACAATAAACTAAGATTCCTCTTTATTCTAAGTAAATTACTTTCATTTATTCTAAATGTATAGAATTTGTTTTTTGTTTCTCTATTCCCTCTAGGATTTGATGTAGTGTATTATCTCAGTATTTAGTAATTTTGATCTTTATTCATACCCCAAATGACATGATAATACGAGGCAGTAACACTTATAGAGCTTACTATGTGCTAGGCAGGCACTGTCCTGAAGTCTTTATGGCACATCATGTAAAGAGCTAGAACTCTGGGGACTTCCCTGGTGGTGCAGTGGTTAAGAATCCGCCTGCCAATGCAGGGGACACGGGTTCAATCCCTGGTCCGGGAAGATCCCACATGCCGCAGAGCAACTAAGCCCACGCGCCACAACTACTGAGCCTGTGCTCTAGAGCCCGCGAGCCACAGCTGCTGGGCCCGCGTGCCACAACTACTGTAGCCCGTGTGCTGAGAGTCCATGCCCCGCAACAAGAGAAGCCACCGCAATGAGAAGCCCATGTATTGCAACGAAGAGTAGCCCCCGCTCACCGCAACTGAGAAAGCCCACGCGCAGCAACAAAGACCCGACGCAGACAAAAATAAATAAACAAATTTATTTAAAAAACAAAGAGCTAGAACTTTGGAATAAGAATGACCTATCTGTGCATTGCCTGTTTCAGAACCTTGGATTCCTTGTAGATAAAAATAGCACTTAGACTATTGTGGGGATTAAATGTGATACAAAATACCTAGTGTAAGGCCAGCATTTAGTAGGCATTCAATAAATGTTAGTGCCTTTTCCTCCTTCATTGTTTCCGACTAAAAGGTACTAATGTTTTTAGGCTAGTTTCAGTAAATGCTTATCTCTATGTTTAGCAACAATAATTACAGTGGGTTTTTTTTTTTTTGAGAAAATGAAAACAGAACTTGGTCTAATAGTCTAAAACAAACAAAAAAACCCCCACAGACTCCAGAGTTTTATTATGAGAGAAAAATGGTATTTATTTTCTGTCTATAATTATCTTAAGATTTTCAACAAATCACTGTCCTTTTTTTATGCCAGAGTAGTACACTGAGAGAATGAGGCCAGGAAAAAAACTCTATAATGACTTTGCACCCTTCTGTGTGTTATTGATAGTTCAAACTATACCGTCCCATAAACTTTATTTATTTAATGTATTTACATTTCCAACACAAGGAGGTGCTTATGCTAAAAGGCATAGATAGGTTCAATACAACTGAGAACCATTTAAACAAGAAAAAAAGTAATAAGATTAAGGGAAGAGGGAGAGTGAAGAAATAATTATACTGGGAAACAACTAAGGGAAGACAGTATAACCGACCACCAATGTAGCTCAGAGATTCCTGGTAGTTAAGGCAAAAAGCTTTACAGAGCTACTGTGATATAACTGAAAGAAAGCATACCAATTCACCTCTAAACCACTGTGGGAATTTGGTTTGGTTCATGACACAAGGGTAAGAGAATGTAATAGAGAAGGTCCTCAACTAGAACTTTATTAGAACAGTAGAGAAAAGTTTTCCACATAGCCATTTCTCACACTGACTCCAGATATAAGCAAGAGCTTATAATGTTAACATCTACAGAGATGGGGGAAAAGTTAACACATGATTTACATGTAGTTGTTTTGCCATCTGCCTTGATATAGGGATAAAACTTACTGACTTTTGTGAATGAATTATTATCATGTCCCTTAAGTTATATCTCTCAATCTGCCATCTTAGGTCATGCTTTTGACTGGAGCTATATAGTAGACAACTCAAAACCGAGATTAACATACATCTGAAATGGTAATATATATTCTATGTTACCAATTGAAAGGAGATCAGTATGCTCTATTTCTATGATGAGGGAATGATGGAAAGTAATTTTGCTTTCCAGGGGATATCTGGCAATGTCTGGAAACATTTTTGGTTGTCACTACTGGGAAGCTCCTACTGGCATCTAGTGGGTAGAGGCCAGGGATGCTCCTAAACATCTTACAATGCACAAGACAGCCTTCTCACAATAAAGAATTATCTAGTCCCAAACATTAATAGTACTAAGGTTGAAAAACTGCTGTAGATCAGTGGTCTTCAAAAAATGTGGCTCACACGCTCCCTAAAATAACTTTTTAAAATTTTTCACCATGGGTTTAAATTGTTGGGAAAAATATTATTTCCAACATACTGTAAATACTGCCCTTAGTATTGAAATATTATAGCATCCTTTAAAATGGAATCTAAATACCACAGCTTTTTGATAGCCACTATGATCCAACCAAGAATATGAAAGGGCTCTTCTTTAAAATTCAGAAATTTTACATCAACTGTAGGAAAAAATACACATATAAAAACTGAGGATCTGGAAATTGATTATTTTAAAGACACGTTGTGGGCTGAATTGTACCCTCCCAAAAAGATATGTTGAAGTCCTAACCCTCAGTACCTCAGAATGTTACCTTGCTTAGAAATAGTCTTTGCAAATTTAACGAAGTTAGGATGAGGTCATTAGGGTGGGCCCTAATGTAATAAGACTGGTATCCTTAAAAAAGGGAAAACTGAACATACACAGGGAGAAGATGATGTGAAGACATACAGGCAGAATGCAATGTGAAGACAGAAGCAGAGATTAGACTAATGTGGGGCATTCCCTAGTGGTCCAGTGGTTAGGACTCGAGGCTTTCACTGCCGAGGGCCCAGGTTCAATCACTGGTCGGGAACTAAGATCTCACAAGCTATGCAGCATGGCCAAAAAAAAAAAAAAAAAAAAAGAGAGAGAGAAGCTAGGATTGATTAGGTTACAATCCGAGGACTGCCAAGGATTGCCGGCCACCCCTAGCAGCTCGAAAGAGGAAACAAAAAATTCTACCCAGAGTTTGAGAGGGAACATGGCCTTGCCAACACCTTGATTTCAGACTTCTAGCCTCCAGAGACAGTAAACATCTACTGTTTTAGGCCATCCAGTTTGTAACACTATTACTAACAGCCCTAGAAAACTAATTCATCTATATCTGTTTACCTCTTGGAAAGCTTTGTCCACCCCCAGGAGTACATGTACTCCAGTTAAGGCATCAGGCATGTAAATAAGTCAAAGCAATGTCTGGTTTAAAAAATTAAAGTTTTTTGCCTTGGTGAAGACCACTCCAGCTCCACAAAGAAGTGACCTGCAGGAAGATCTATAGATAGACGCAAGTTTTTCTTCAAATAACACCTTTAATTCTTTTTCAAATCCTCAAAGTAGTAAGTTCTGGATTGGAAAACTGTGCAATAAAACAGAATTCTATTACTAAATTTTGGGTAATTTTCCTCTAAATGTATTACTACCTTGTACTTGCTCAGTTTGAAGCTGTCACTTTCCTGCCTTATAGCCTTGTTAGATCTTCCTGCAGACTATCTAAAATTAGATCTTAAAGAGATAGTTGCAATACAAAACACTATGATACCCATTGGGGTTATTGTCCAATATACCTTGCCTAACAGAAATGTACTATTTTTTGAGATTACAGGTTCCTGTACAAAATTTGGAAGATCAAACATTTATAGGTGAGTTGTAAAAATGCTTTATAAAAATATTAAAAACTAAGAAATCATAGCTATTTTTTGGTTGGATACTATTGTTCAAACTCCTATATTTTGACAATTTTAGTTTTCAATGCTATTGTATCATTTCTAATATAAGAAATGATTTGTACTCAATATGAGCTGCTTTGTATTTAATGAGACAGATAAAGGAGAGAAAAATGCCCAACGATCTAGGCTTAGAACCTCAGGAAAGATACAAATAGTGGAAGTACCAGAGTGAAGGGGAAACCACATTGCTACAATAATTCTGGAGAAGTTTGACAGAAGTATGAGCTAATTATTTCAAGGGATGAAAATTATGTACTTTAATGAGGATGGATGAGCTGCCGCTCCCAGTATAGTGAGATAACATGAGAAAATATTAAAGAGCAACATTGAGACTGATCCGATTTGTTTCAACTGATAGAAAACTCCAAAAAGCAATACTTTAGAATGGGACAAATCTGTGCTTAAGTCCAAACTCTGTCACTTAACTAGTATGTTCTTTTGGGCAAGTTACAAAACCTCACTGAACCTTGTTTTGTAATCTGTGAAATGGGAATAAGACCCTTGTAATGCTATTATACACATATTAAAAGCATATGGTATGTAAAGCATGATGCTTGGCTAGAGAAAGTGTTCAACTTCCTTACTCTAGGAAATTAGAGAACTTCAACACTGAGAAGACTAAGAGAATGAACCTGACACGAGGAATGAATATAACACGTGAGTGGCTGTAAATTTAATAGATTTTGTGAAATGAAATTAATCTATTCAATAGATGCCTACAACCCTAGAATTTAATCATTTTTACATATTTTATAATGATTTCATTTGACCCTTACTTTATTTTTTTTAAAGGAGTCCTTCCTTCCTTCCCGACTGCGTTGGGTCTTCGTTGCTGTGCGCGGGCTTTCTCTAGTTGCGGCGAGCGAGGGCTGCTCTTTGTTGTGGTGAGCGGGCTCTAGGTGGGCACGGGCTTCAGTAATTGTGGCATGTGGGCTTAGTAGTTGTGGCTTGCAGGCTCTAGAGCACAGGCTCAGTAGTTGTGGCACACGGACTTAGCTGCTCCGCGGCATGTGGGATCTTCCCGAACCAGGACTTGAACCCGTGTCCCCTGCATTGGCAGGCGGACTCTTAACCACTGCGCCACCAGGGAAGCCCGAGCCTTATTTATTAAAAAAAACTATTAAGTAGGCAGAACTAGTAATATGCTCCTTTTTCTTTTCTTCCTTTTGCAAACAGAAAAACTGAGGTTCCAAGAAATTAAATGAGCTCACCAGTGTCATAAATAGGTAATATTCTACAAGTCCTAGACTAACTCATCACTTTTAATCAGTACTCTTTTCATTACACCATGATAATGCCATGCTTACACTGATATCAGGAACAAGCAAAAATAAATCAATATGATGAGATTAAGGAAGCCAGTTACCAATAAATGTTAACTAGTTGACAAAATTAAGCAACATGCCAGAAGCTTGAAAACTATTCCATTTGCAGTTTTCTTGCAAAATGTTTGGCTCTGGCTAATGTCTAGGATTTAGATGGCATCAATTTAAGCATGGTACACTGTTATTTCTCAATTATAAAAAGCAGCACCGTTTTTTAAATACGAAAAAGCTAAACTAGAAATAAAATAATCAATGAAGTTTCATCACAGTAAAATGGACTGACCTAGAGAGGAGGTGGTTTGGGACCCTACTCCAGTTAACATCATGCCTCTGCACTCTGATCTGATCTGTCATATAAGAGGGTCAGGCTCTTTTATTTATGATTTCTGTAACAGGTTATACTGTGTAATCACCGGATAATTAAATGTGTCAATCTAGAATTTGGGTGAAAGCAAAAGATAAAGTTGGTAAGAGCCAACCCTATCTTCATATTTCTAGTGTTAAAAGACACCTCTCCTCTGGAAGTGCTGGAATTGGAAAATCATCATTTTGCAACTATCACAGTAAAGAATGATTCGGAGGACTTCCTTGGCAGTCCAGTGGTTAAAACTCTGTGCTTCCACTGCAGGGGGCATGGTTCAACTCCCGGTCAGGGAACTAAGATCCTGCATGCCTTGCGGCACAGCCAAAAAAAATGATTCAGGCTAGAATCATCATGGATGCTAAGTCTAGGGGAAATTTTTGATGAGGGATAGGATATTTGCATGGTCTAAATGAGTCTCATCAAAGACTGTTTATTAGTTGCAAAGGAAAAAATATTTAATTGAAAAGACTGAGTGATCAACACTTAACATCATCAATGAGAGGCAGATGGATATCACGTCCCTCAGCTGTGAGATGCAGAGGACACGCCATCACTTATGTAATTTTCCATCCTGGGATGCAGAACCTAAATCTAGTTGTAAGGAAATATCAGACAATCCCAAATGAGGAATATTCTATTAAAATAAAGGGGACTGTAGTCTTCAAACTTGTCAGTATCATGAAAGACAAAGCTGTGGAAATATTCCAAGTTAAGGAAAACTAAAGGCAAAACCTGATCTTGGGATCCTGTACTGGGGGAAAATGCTATAAAGGCTTTATTTGGGTCATTTGACAAAATCAGAACGTGGATGGTAAAGTATGTGCATTAACACTGAATTTACTCAAGTTTTACAACTGAACTGTGGTTATGTCAGGAGAATATCTCTATTCTTAGAAAACACACACAAACATATTTACGGACAAAACATATATACACAAATTCAGAGAGAGACAGAGAGCATGCATGAGTGCACAATGATAAAGCCAGAAGGATAATGTTTAACAATGGGTGAATCTTGGGAGAGGGTGTATGGGTGTTCTTTGTACTATTCTTGCAATTTTTCTGTAAGCTTGAAATTATCTCCAAAGTTTAAAAATAACACACCCTTTGCATAACTAATTTATGCTATTAGAAGTTAGGATAATAATTATCATTGAGGCAGGGTAGTGGCTGTAAGAGAGCATGGGGCAGAGTCCCAGCATGTTGGTAAGGTTGTTTCTTAATCTGGAAGCATTCACAGGTGTGCTCAGTTTGTGAAAGTTTATTTGAGTTATATTTAAGTGTACTTTTCTGTATATATACTTCAATAACATCTTAATGAAAAAGACCTTCTGCCAAAGGACCAGAGCAAAATTTCTGGAAATGGAGTTTAAATACTTTTATATTTCACTACTCAGAAAATTAAAAACACTTGCTTATGTATGTCTTTATGTATATATATGTTCTAGACAGAACACTCCTTGAGGGCAGAGATTGTCTTATGTATCATCTATACCATTTAGCAGAAGCCTCCCATATAATAACTTCTCAATAAATAAATTTCTCAATAATAAATAGTTTATAATACAAATGTTCACTGTTAGTTGTTTTGATCCATTTACTTATTTAAATTTAATTATTAAACTATTACAAATAATTTCTCAATAAATAAAGATGCGTGTTAACTGGTTGGGCTAACTGGTAACCATTTTAAGACCACACAGTTTATTGTCATAGTTGAATCTCCTTTGCCTTTGGTCCCAATTCTTACTACCTCCAAACTCCCCTCTCTGTAAAACATTCCACCCACTCATTCCTTACTACAAAGTATAGTTTAAGAAAATTAAACTTAGTTTGAGGATTCTGCAATAGTCCTTCATATACTCAAAAAGACAGAAGAAAAATTTTGGCTCGAGAAACGAGAGAGATCACACTTTTCACAACTCTAATATATTCCTACGTCAGGACCAAAAAGCATGTTTCAAGGGTCATTTTGATGTCCTCTCTGATCAGCACTCAGAAGTGACTCACCACAGCCACTCCACTAGTCTTGCATGTTCTAAAAAGGACAATTAAAAAAAGCATCCTGTGGACAGACATAGCCTCATGAGGGCTGGGCTGGTAGAACCTATCCCAGATCTTGGCTGAACACTTCTGGGTCATGCATAAATTATAATCCACATGCAGAAGCCCTGTAACTCATATTTGTCTCAGAAACTTTATTTTCTTTTTAAAGTCATAATAATAATCTAAAGTCATTTATTTATTAATTTATAACATTTTATATGTATTTCCAGATTGTTAGGCACTTATGGTTTATTCTCTCCAAATGAATAACCATACCATTCCTGTACATAGAAAGCTTTCCTTTTATTTTTCTGCAGCTCTCCACTTACATCATCTATGATAACTTACCTGACAGGTCACAAAGTGACCATAACACCTCCAAGTCCTTTTATACTTCCTAGCAGTCTGATCATTTGATTTTGTAGTTGTTTATAAACTTATTTAGCAATAATTACTTAAGTGGATTCAAACTTATTTTACAAAAGAGACACCTGACTGGAGGGCAGAGCTCTTTTTGGTCAGAAACTATTCTTTTTAGTTGTATAATTTCCTTCAAAATCCTCATACGTACAAAGAATTCTGCAGACTAGAAAAGGCTTTTTTGAGATGGTTGGCTGCCTGATTCCTAGTTTAAAGTGACCTCAGTCACAATAGTATTCACAGATTTCCAACATATTTCATATACGTGGTTGAATATCTGAAAGCTCATTGTTCTTTATGTGTGTTAACACTATTCTCTGTATTCTGAGAGCACAATATAAAAGACTGAACTGTAACACAGGCAAATCAGAATATACTTATAAAGCAATTTAAAAAGGAGGGGATTCCGTGCAAAGTTCCTTTAAGTCTAACACAACTAAATTAAATAAATGTACACATATTGAGCAATATTTACTATAAAAATCATATATATAACCTATTACTGTTTATATGATAAAATTTCATTACTCCAGAATAGTAGCAAAACATCTGTTATAAAAGTTTAACACAATTTACTTTCAAATATCTCTGCTGACTAGAATGGGGCTAACAGTGTGTCAAAATATAAAGGGATAAAAAAGAGAAGGGAGATCTTTTAAAAATATATACAAATTCATAATCAAGAGCTCAGTTATTTGACTATAAGATAATTTTGAAAAACTGAAAGTTTTTTGCAGTTAAAAAAATCCCTTTAATCTGGTTTCCAAAATGAGTCTGTTTAGTAGCTTTCATTTATAAAGAAAACATCAATTATTGCCTTATTTCCTGTCTAAACAATAAAACAATCAGTATATATTCAATAGGTGTTCTTTTCTCAAAATAATACTAGGTATTGACCATCATTATGTACCATGTCAAATAAGAATGCCAAATCCAAATAGCTCCAACTTACATCTATCTGCCTCCTTTCCAACATATAACCCTTTAGAAGGCTAAACAACTTATTAATTTTTATCTAGCATTACGTATTTTTTGGAATAACAGAAGCTCCCCCAAATCATTAGGTTGAGGGTGTTATCCATTACCAAAACGTCTAAGAAAAAACTGATGCACACTTCAAATCTTTACCGTATTCTTTTCACACTTAGAATGTACCTAAGTATATTTTACAAGCGCATGATATGGGTGATACAGCGCCTCACTGTACCTTATTGGACTAAAAGTCTCATTTCAAGTTCTCTTTGAGTAATTAAAAGTCTAAAGAAGCACCTTTGTAAAACATAACTTGATAAATAAAGGGCAACAAGAAAGCTATATAAATTATTCTAAAGGTTTTTTAAAAAAATGAATGAAAATAAAAAACTCAGTTTATATAATTAATAGAATAAGGTTATTTTTTAAATTAAATATTAACAACCCCTAGCCAGTTCTCCAATATTAAGTTGTTCTGAAAACTGAATAATAATAATGTTGTAAATCAAGAAAAAACACATTTATTAATTACTGTTAGCGATCACACATTCATCTATGAAATAATGTTTTAAAAATTATTTAAAAAAACATGTTTCTGCAAGTCTTACCATGAGCTGTGTAGTTTGTACAGTTAACTGGTTCTTGTGTAGCATCATTTATTTTTGGATCTTTACAAATATATGTAGAAAAGTTAAGGAAATATGAACTACATTCCAATACAAAACATTATCATCTTGTCTTTAACATGTCATCTTATATACTTATGATTATATTCACATGTGAAAAGAGGCTGTTAGTTTGTCCAAGTCAACAAGCACAGGTATACTTTTAGTGTCACTAAATAATACCTGAATATTAACTTATTACAGGAAAATTGTATTAAAAACTCTAGCAGAGGGTGCTATGCATGGAACATCAGTCAGGGTTTAAACACAAAGCACACAAAAAAAAGAAAATAAAAATCTTTACCAAATTATATAAGAGAACTTCAAGTTAAAAAAATCAGTTTCCAGATATCTGACTGAAATTATTCACAGGCCCCAAGTATTACCATATACATAATTTCATGTAACACAAATAACCCTGTGATGTAGATACTATTATCCCCACATTACTGAAGCAAACTGATGCTCAAGGTTTGAGTGATTTATCCAAAGTGGTATGAGTGACAGGTAGTAAAATCAGATTTCCTGATTCCAAGCCGAGGGTGCTTTCCATCAGACTGCGAGGAAGATGGTTGTTTTAGGCGGGTCTACATGGTCTCCCCAACAGGATTTTAAGGTTTTGTAAATGGATGTAATAATTATCTTCTCATAGATGTTCACAACACTTGGGAGTTGGGGTTCTGTTTCCTAAAAATTTTATTGACACTAATACGAGATAAGTAAGGTACTCACAGGATGTCTCTGGAGACAGAGTCTGACACCTCTTTAGGGTTTTTGAATCACTATTGGAAATCTCATCTTTATGCGAGGAAAAACATTTTCCAGTTAACATCATCTTGTATGCTCAGGCACTTCTAAGTTTCAAAAAGCACAACTCTTCATACTGCTCAATTATTTTATTAGAAATAATCACCCCGACATTTTTGCCAAGAAAGGGACTCAGCTTACTAGGTCAGTGATTCTCAAACTCCTAGCATAATGGTAATCAGCAAATTAGAGCTATTCTGTAAAAATTTAATAATGGCGGCCTCTCCTCAACTCTTAAAAATACTATCGAATTTTCTTAATTTTAAGATTTCTTCTCATAGAATCTTTTTTATATCTCCGGCTTCTATTAATTTTTCTGTTCTACAACTTGTATGAAACTGTCTAATTTTGTACAAAATTACCTATTTTAATTTGAATGTAACTCCCATTTCATATCCTCCTCCACTTATCAGAGCCGCTGCAATGAACAGATCTACTTAACTCCTCCAGCCTGTTTTCTCATCAGTAAGCAAACAGCTAACACACATAGCCCCTACTATGTGCCAGGCATTGTTCTAAGTGACTTACCTGTACTAATTTATCACAACAGACCTTTAAGTTGGTAGCATTGTTATCTATATTTTTACTCATGATAAAACACAGTTCGAATAATTTGTCCACGGCTACAAAGTGGTGCAGGAATTTGCCCCCTTGCAGTCTGGGATCTCATGTAGGTCGAGATAGTATAAGGTAATAAATGTAAAGTTAACAATAAATGGGCAACATACATTGGCTATATCGTTATTAATTACTGTACTTGTCTTCCCCGAAGTCGGCAAATTTCCAGGGTAGGGTCCATCAACCTTTTAACTTAATTCCAATGCTTAAGAACATGGCCTAACATACTTCAGTGTCAATGTGTTTGAACAAATAAACCCACCGGTTAAAAAAATGAATTTTTAAAAAAGAAAGGGGGATCACAAGAGGAAGCATCAACGATCAGTAAAATCCCAAGGAAATCACACAGGATAGCCTCTGTCCGTCCCAGCCCCACATCTCTCTTCACCGCCTGAGGTCCCTCGGTCATTAAAGGACACAGGTCACCTTTCCTTTCAGTAAAACCTTAGCCCGTGTTGAGAGCCGCGACCCACTCTCGACCCCGAATCTACCTCGCCCCATGGGGGGGGCTCCTCACAGAGGATATTGTCCCACTCTGAGGTCCTCGCACTTAAGTGACTCTTCGCCACCGCCGGCTGCAGCTCCCCAAGGTCCCGTGGTTACTGACACGACCCACAGTACAGCCAGGAGCCGAGCAGCAGCAGTCTCAGAAGCAACCGGCCCGGAGGGCCGAGAAGCCGCCATGCTGGGGACCGGCGCATCCCCCATAACTTCCGGTTCCGCCTTCGCCTAGGCGAAGCTGGGAGTCTGGCGCCGTCGGGAGTGAGGCTCTTAAAGGGACCGTGCATCCGTTAGAGGCAGGTCATCCCTCTAGGCCTGCGGAATCACCTGGGAGAGCTTCGATTGGTCTTTGAGAATCAGAAGGAGGCAGCTCTCTTGGAGAATCAGCTGACCTCCGTCCACGGCTTCCTCGCAAGCTAATCCTGCTGTGGCTTTAACATCAGCAAAAGTGCCAGCGGCGCCCGGCAATTCGATAAACCCTTTATAAACATTATCTCTGTTAGTCTGGTAGGATTTGGGTTTACAGATAACGAACCAGACTCAAAGACGCTAAAGAACATGTTGGCCTTAGTTACTGAGTTGGAATAGAATTGATGTTGGCCCGATTTCAGAAACTGTGCTCTTACTATGATATGATGGCCTCCTTGTTGTCTTAGAGAAGAACTTTTTGGAAGGCTGGTACAAATTGATCTTGAGGACTGTATCACAAAAATAAGCATTACACCTTTTTTCTTCTAATTTTTTTCTTTTAAAAAATTATATATATATTTTTTAATTTATTCATTTTTACACCTTTATTTTTAACAGTGAAAATTTAGGTGAAGGAAACGGCCTAAAACAAGAGGAGACCAAAGACTTTACGACTAAACTAAGTGAAAGGTTGGAGGGTTTTTCCTCCATCTCTTCTTTCTAAATTTCTATGTATTCTAAAGTAATGGGGGTATCTTTTATACGGAACAAAATGTGTACTATTTTTTAGTGAAATTTTAGTTGTTTTTCTCTAACGTAAAAATATTTGAGTTTGAGTGGTGCCTCTTCATCCACAGTAGGACTAATTTTCAAAAACTGTGCTGTGCAGTGGTTCTCAAACTTTAGGGAGCATCAGTACCACCTGGAGTATTTGTTGAAACTCAGATGGTAGGGCCTCAGGTTCTGATTCTGAAGATCTGGGATAGGGCAGGATAATTTTCTTTTCTACTGAATTGCCAAGTGATGCTGATATTGCTGGTCCAGAGACCACACTTTGACAACCCTGAGATAATGTATTACAAGATGTATCGTTTTTGAATGAGAAGACATGAAACTATTTGCAATAATATCTTAGTATTGTAACTACATTTAAAATTTTTCTTAAACCAACTTTGCAGCATTAGTATGCTATTTTAAAATTAAAACATTTATGCTTAAAGACTTAAGTGATAAGAAATTTACTAGTTCAATTTTTAAACTTCCCATTTTAATTGGACTTGCACCTTCTCTCCTTTTTTCCCCTTTTTCCTCCCTCCCTTCCTCCCTCTCCCGCCCTCCTTTCCTTCCTTCCTCCCTCCTTTCCTTCCTTTTCTTTTCTCTCTCTTTCCCTCCTTCCCCTCCATGAAGATATTTATCAAGCATTTACTTTGTACCCAGCATAAGGTGAGACCCTACAGCCTCAAAAAATAAAGAGGCAAGAACCCAGTAGTTAAACACTTTGTGTTTGCTGGGGGAAAAGACAAACTGTTAAAATACTGCTTGGTAATTGTCACAATAGAAGCATGTATTAGTTGCTGTAGTAGGACAAGGGTTTTGATAAGATTATCCCCCAAACAGTATTTGGAACACAATATTTTGTCACTGACATCAAAATAATTCAAAATCCAGGCCAAACTGGAGGAATAGAGTTGGTTCTTCATAGGATGCATGACCACCTAAAAATGTACAACCTAGAAAATTAACCATTAACTTTGAGTTTTAAAAATTACCAATAATATGTATAACATACAGCTCAACACCACCCCTCATCCTCATCCTGAGATGAAATTTAGGAAAGGGGTTGGGGCCAAGGATTAGGTCAAATCCAGGGATAAGGATTCGAATATCTGTTACACGTAGTATCTGGTGATAAAAGATAGTGACTTTGCATTTTGACTACCATTTTGGCACTTTCAAAAAGTTCTGGTTTGATTTTCAAAATACAATCTAAAGAAAATCAGAAGGTGAAAGGAAGCAACTTTCTAGTTTGAGTTTATTGAAATTATGACAAAATTAGGTATTTTCCCGCTGACTGCAGGAATATTGCTGATATTTGTGTCATTTTTCATATAGATTTTGAACAATTAACTATTTGAAAATGCTTGTGCTTTGCTGATTAATCGCACTACAAAATCTGTTTTTATGGTTCTACTGATTATCTTTGTTCTCTCCTACAATGTACAAACTGAAAAGAACAAGAGTCTTCCCGTGAAAGTAAAGAAATACAAAATATTTGACTCTTGAAGTGATTCAGGTTCACTTTCTCTTCTTACTGCCCCTTAATCTATTTTCTCATGGCTCAGTAAAATATATTACTTTATATCTTTGCAAGTATAGTCTCTGATAACAAGATACTACATTGTCTAATTTTAGTAAGAACGTTAAATCTCAATCTTAGGCATGTTTTCAATGCAAAGTTTCTTTGTCTCATAAAAATTCTATAGGATTCTATGGAAATTCTATAGAAAGTAAAGGATATGAATAGCACAGCCCAATACGGAAATTGCTATGTAGAAACATTAGAAAGAGGTTTGCCAGTGAAGCCTGAAGCAAAGCTTCCTCTGGGATTCGAAGGCTCTGAACATTGGATCTTTTCATTCCTAAAATTCTAGTATACACCTAATTACATTAATAGATAGTTTTGTCCTGAGCAACCTGATCCCTGTTTCCATGATTAGAACAGAATCATTAAGAGATAAAAGATGGTTACTCTCCCCAAATTTCTTTTTTATTTGAGATGGGCATTTTTTTTCCTCTGGTGGTAAATTCATAGTATCAGGTCCTGGTAAATCTTTATTATAGTCTTCTGCACATTGGGAATTTTTCTACATCCATGCTGTCTCTCAGGTATTTCTGTGTCCTCTCTTTGGTGCACCAGTCTAACTGCCATCCAATTCAATTGACTCATCACTTAATAAGGCCTACTCTATGCCAAGTATATTTCATCGTGAATGTCAAATGTAGGATCTAAAACTGACTTTATCAGAGTCTTACTTCTCAAAAAAACAAAACAGAATAAATTGGCTTTTCTAAGTTTCAACACCAACATCCATTTTATCAGTTTCAGAGCTTAGAATCATCTTCGCACTTCAGTTTTCTCCTTGTTCTTCTTTATCCCTTTTTCTAATCACTAAGCAACTGATATTTTTAAGTGCTCATTTTTTAAATCCTATATTTTCACCCTATTTCAGGTATATGACATTTCTAGGTACCTTGCTATAGCAACTTCTTACTTCCTCTTTCTGATTCTAGGCCTTCTCCCCAACTTTGTCAATCTATTTTTCACACTGCTTCCAGATTAATCTTTCATTTAGGAAAACATAAAACCTATATCATATCCAAAATCTTATTCAAAATCCTATAAGCTCCTTGTATTTTACCCAAAGGAGTTGAAAATGTTTGTCCAGATAAAACCTGCACACATGGTCATAACAGCTTTATTCATAATTGACCAGACTGGGAAGCATAAGATGTCTTCTAGTAGGTGAACAGATAAGTAATCTGTGGTACATCCAGAAAATGGAATATTATTCAGTGCTAAAAGAATTGAGCTCTTAAACCGTGAGAAGACATGGCGGAAGCTTAAATGCATCTTACTAAAAAGCCAATCTCAAAAAGCTACATACTGTATGATTCCAACTATCTGACCTTCTGGAAAAGATGAAAATATGGAGTTAACAAAACATAAGTGGTTGCCAGGAGTTGGGGAGGGAGGGCAGCAGCAGGGGGATGCATAGGCAGAGCACAGAGGGTTTTTAGGGCAGTGAAAGTATTCTGCATGATACTATAATGGTGAATACATGTCATTATACATTTATCCAAACCCATAGAATGTACAACACCAAGAGTGAACCATAATGTAAACCATGGACTTTGGGTGATTATGTGTCAATATAGGTTCATTAGTTGTAAGACATGTACCACTCTGGTGGGGGCTGTTGGTAAAGAGGGGGGCTATGAATATGTGGGAGAAGGGGGTACATAGGAAACCTGTAACTTCTGTTCAATATAGACCCTAAAACTGCTCTAAAGAAATCAAGCATTTTTAAAAATAAACACCAATCATTAAATGTTTTTTAAAAAGCAAAAAATAAAAATCTTATTCAGAAATTTTCAGTGGCTCTTTAATTTCTTAGAGATAAAGCATAAAGTCTTATAACCTAAAGTTCTCCGTAGTATTTTCAGGTCCTCCACCATCTGCTCTGGCCTCACTTTATTTACGACTACTCTTGGCTTTCTCTTTGCTGTCACAAGTATCTGTCATGTTCATGCCCATCTATGTGCTGCTTCATTTATTCAGTACTTTCTATGTGCCAGGTGTATGCAATACATGTAATTTCTTCATTTAACCTTAAAAGGTACCATATGAAGTATTGTAAGTACTGGCACTGAAATTTCACTAATGGGAGTTAGAAGGTTTAAATAACTTGTCAAAGTTGCATATTTTAAGAAATGGTGGAATTAGAATTCAAGCTCAGATCTTCTGACTTCAGAGATGTGTTCTTAAAAACTGTGTTCATCTTCATCATTCTGTGAATAAAATACTCTTGAGGGTTCTCAGAGGTTGAGAAAACAAAAAACCAAAAAAACTCTGTGCCAGAAAATGTTTACCACAGAGTATGTGCCTTAAAAAATGTACTGAATAAGTTAAACATTTTTTAAAATTCCAGGTAAGAGCCAGAGGAAAGCAGAAATTAAAATAACCATACTAAAATATGGAGAAAATGGGATTAAATGTGGTGGAGATGGATGTTTTCTGGGAATGATCATTGAGGCCCTGGGGGAAGGGTAGGGCTCACAGGACATTCCAAGCATGGAAAAGGGGATGAGTAACCAACGGAAAAGTCATGGTGTGGTCATTCCAAGGGCATAGAGTAGACCAGACCATTTGGCCAGCATCAGATCTTGGAGAGTGAAATGGAAGAGTAGGTTGAAGAGGCAGCAAGGAGAGAGTTTAGAGGGCCTTGGATACTAAGAAAAGGAGTTTGAACTTTGTTT